TCTTTCAAAGTTGTATGCTTTTAAAACTGCTGTTGTTTTCCTGATTCTCCTCACTTCTCTCTGCATCAGTTTATCCAAGTTTTCCCAGATTTCTTTGAAACCATCTCTTTAGTTATTTTTTATGGTAAAGTAGCATTCCATTATATTCTTATGTCACATTTTATTTAGCAATTCCCCGATCGGTAGCTCCTTAGTTTCTAGTCCTTTCTCATCACGAAGAAAGAACTGTTATAAATATTTTTGTATACAGATGGGTTCTTTACTTCTTTGATCTCTTTGAGGTACAGGCCTAGTTGGGGTCTTGCTAGATCAATGGGTTTGCACAGTTTAGTAACTTTTGAGAGTATGTTCTGGTCCATTTATAAGAGGTTGAAAAAAATTGAGAAATGATGGTTCAGTGATAAAACTATTATACCAGTATCTTTCAGATGAAATAAAACTATTTTATACGCATTGTTGTACTTCAAAAGAAGTCACTGTACATGAAGCTTTTTTTTTGCATGTGAAAACAATTTTTTTTAACATGTGTTTTTAAAACTTGGGGGTTCCAAATTTTTTCCCTTCTTCCCTCCACACCCACCCTCATTGAGAAGGCAAGCAACTCAGTACAGGTTATAAATGTGTAGTCATGCAAAACACTTCCATAGTAGTCATGTTCTGAAAAACTAACTATATTTCCCTTCATCCTATCCTTCCCCCCATTTGTTCTGTTCTCCCTTTTGATCCTGTCGCTCCTCAGAAGGGTTTGCTTTTGATTACCCCCTTCCCCAGTCTGCCTTCCCCTCTATCATCCCCCTGTTCTCTTGTCCCCTTCCCCCCTGTTTTCCTGTAGGGTAAGATAGATTTCCCTACCCAATTGAGTGTGTATGTTATTCCCTCCTTGAGCCAGATACATTGAGAATAAGATTCACTCATTCCCTCTCACCTTCTCCCACTTCCCCTCCACTTTAAAAGCCTTTTCTTGTCTGTTTTATGTGAGATAATTTACTTCATTCTACCTCTCCCTTTCTCCTTCTCCCAGTATAATCCTTTCTCACCCCTTAATTTTATTCTCCAGATATCACCCCTTAATCTTCAACTCACCCTGTGCCCTCTGTCTATCTATCTATCTATCTATCATTTTTTCCGTCCAGCTACCCTAATACTGACAAAGGTCTTATGAGTTACAAATATCATCTTTCCATGCAGAATGTAAACAGTTCAACCTTCATAAGTCCCTTATGATTTCCCTGTCCTGTTTACCTCTTCATATTTCTCTTGAGTCTTGTATTTGAAATTCTTTTCATCAAAAATGCTTGAAAGTCCTCTATTTCACTGAATGTCCATTTTCTCCCCCGAAGGGTTGCAGTTTTGCTGGGTAGGTGATTCTTGGTTGTAATCCTGTTTCCTTTGCCCTCCAGAATATTATACAAAGCATTTTCACTGGGACACTTTCTGCTACTTTAAAAAGCTCCTCTTCACATAGGTGTTTATTTTCCAAAAATAACTTTCTGTTTCAGCACTTAATGGAGCTCTAAGTCAATATCTTGAAGTAATGTTATTCTGCTTATAAGATAATCTTGTTCTCTCTGTAGAATTATTTCTGTTTTATTATTGTATATGTCTTGTAAACTTAGACTTAAATGACACTCTTGGGTAAAGTGTTTGCTCGTTATGTTTCGTATTAGACATAACAGTGAATTTGTGTTGTGACTATAATGAAGTAAAAGAACTTAAGCATATGCAGACATACTCAAATATCCCTACAATATTTTAAAATACTTGTGATTTCGTAAGTACGAGTACTCCTTTGATATATTATAATCCTTCCCTTCTTACTAAGTGATCTTTTAAATTGCTTTGTTAAAAAAAATCACCTACTTGGTTGCCAACCAAGCATCTGATTATCCTCTCAGGTTACAGTCCATCACCTTGTTTGTACCGAAAGCCTTCGTGATAGGACCTTCCAAACCCCACAGCTTCATTCCCAGAGCCTTTGAGAATCAGGGATAGCTAATGACGTGCCGAGGAAAAGAACGTTAAGGTGCTGAAACATGCCAGAACTTGTATGGTCAGAGGATTGTTTTGATGATTGTACTGCCTGAAATATTGGCATGACTCTTCTCAAAATTCCTTTTCCAAGCCAATTGGAATACATGCAAGAAAATGACATTGTAGGTCATTACTTTATAGTCATACCTGCTTCTCCTTCCACTCCCCAACAGTATTATTTCAATCATCCATCTAATTTGTTCTTATTATTTAAGTGATAATGTTCATTCATATATAAAATATTTTTTTAATCAGTTGCTGAGTAGGAAGGTGTTAGACCCAGTGATCCCCAAGGTTTCTTCTGGCTTTAGGACTGTATGACTCACAGCTAATATTTCTTTTTTACATGAAATGATTTTTTAATTTAATTACTTTTTAACTTTTTTTAAAGGTTTATTGTTATCTTTTTCTATACCACAATCATTTTCCGTTACCATCACTATATAATATTCCCTTCTAACCATGTAAATTAGCAAATCATGTAAAACTGACCATATCTGACAGTGTTGAAGGTAATAAAATCCCCACCTCTCTATTGAGATGAGGGAAAGTATCTTTCCTCATTTCTCCTCTGGACCAAGATGAATAATTATGTTTAATCTAAGTTGAGGTGTCTTTTAGTGCTTTTATGTGGATTGGATAGATTAATCTCCTGGTTCTGTTTTCTTCACCCTGTGTCAGTGTCTATAAGTCTTCTCAAATTTCCCTAAATTCTTTATATCTGTCATTTAATTTTGTAGAGGTAATTTTTCCATTGATTATTTCATGTGTCAAATTTTTTTAAAGCCATTCTCCAACTGATGGACACCCTTTTTGTTTCCAATTTTTTGCTAGCAAGTCAGTCCTTAACCGACATCCCTCTTCTCCCTGCTGTTCCTGTTCATTTTGAAGGAGGCTTAGTTGTATTTCCAGCACTTGGCCCAGTACCTAGTGCAGAGTAAGCACTTAATAAGTATTTGTTGACTAACACTGGAAAGAGAATGATATGAAGTTTGTAAAGCCTGGGTTTTATAGTCCATCATCTTAGGCTTTCTGGTTGTATGGTTTCTGGCAAATCTACTTCTCTGAGTGTCCCTTCTTTTAATCTTTCAAAATATTATGGAGATTCCTACCTTACTTTATAGAGTGTCATACAAGTCAAATAAAGTAATATTTGTTAAAGTACTTTGAAAATTTTTAAGTACTATACCAACCTAAGGTGACATTAATGTTCTCCAACTTCATTTATAGTAAAAAATGTTATTGTACTTCATTTCTTCTAGTGGTATTACCTCTGGTTTTTGGACAGAAATTTCACATTTGTGCAGCTTCTGTTGATCTATGATCTCATCAATGTGGACACTTCCTCTAATGATGTAAATTATACTCCATCCTGGAGAGACTTCCTTTAGATCTCTTGAGATTGTCTGGTACTTAGGCAATACTGTCCACCTTTTTTCCTAGTCTTTCATATCCCTGATAGACATTGCTAATGACAGCTCTTCTTTTGTAATGTATTGCAGTCTTAAATTAGTGTACAATGACAGTGAAGCATTTTCCAAAGGAATGATTGTGTTAAATTGGTTCCTGTACCAAAGAGGGAAAGGCCAAGTCAGAATGGGATTTGTTAAAAAGCTCTCCAGTAGAATCAGCCCAGGTCTTAGGAGTGCTAAATGTGAGAGAGACACTTGCAGTCTTCCACAAGCCTTAACTTCTGATTTAGCTTTCAACTCCCTTAGCCAAACATTCACTCAGGACTTTGTGTTCAGTATTTCATGTAGTCAGACCTCTGATGACCCTCTCAGGTGTTAGTCCCACCCCACCCCAACTAATACACTAAAATTCCTCTGTGTTTACTCTGTGTGTGATTGGTGTTCGTTTACCTTTAATCATGCTTTTCAGCCCAAAGCAATGGGAACTCCTTAAGGACAGAGAGGTTCCATGTTTGTCTTTTGTGTTCCCGGCAATGAGCACAGTGCCAGCCCACTGTAGTATATGTTATAAACACTTAGTGAGTTGGTAGCCACATCAGCTCTCATGAAAGCAGCTGTTATCTCTAAGGTTACTGTCCCAATGGACACATCTAAGAGTTGCTCCTGTGCCTCGCTTTAGATCCTACCTCTTGCTAAGTGATTTCCAGCCTCAGGTTTTTTTTTTTACAACAAATACTGTTTCTAGTCATTTCACAGTAGTGGTTGTGAATCATGAGATTCTCAAAATGTTGTATTTTTCAATATGCTTTCATTTAAAATATGCCTTATGTGCCTTTTGGTTGTCTTCTGGTCATAAGAGAAATAGTGAAAAGATAATGATAATAACAGGTAGCATTCCATGGTACCATGGAAAGAGGAGACTTTAAAATTGGAGGCCCTCTGTTCAGATCTTGTCTCTGATACTTACTACCTCTGTAACCTTGGGCAGGTCTAGGCCTTGGTTTCTATATCTGTAAAGTGGGGGGGGGGGGTTAGACTGTTTGCTTCTGAGATCTCTTCCAGCTCCAGATTCATAAACCTCTGAATCGTGTTGTCTTGTTTCTTCCTCATGTTTGGGGAAGTGGGTGAGATAAATACTGTATTACTAGAGCTTTAACTAGGGATAACTTTTACCTGGGGCATGACAGTGACACAGAGATAAAACTGGACATAAAACAGTATCATCAGTAGAGGAGCTTTTCCTTCCCTCAGAGAGGATTTCCCCTAAGGAGTTGGATGGAAGTAGGAGGAAAGGGAACCTGAAAGAGGGATGCTGTAGCAGTGGAACCCTGGACTCGGGGTAAAGAGCCTACTGTGAGTAGGAGGAACCATACCAAAAAGAAGTAAGGTCATAGTTACATAGAAATATTTGTAATTTGCCACGTGATAATACTGTTATTTTCTATGTGAGGATAGTCATATGTAAGCAAGTACATTGTGTCTTTTCAATTGTCTTCTGTTTTACTGTTGGTTAAAATGAAAGATGTTAATATTATGAATTGTATTGTCACTCCATAGGTGCCTGGAATACTTACTAAGAAATGATGCAAATCCAGGAATCCGTGACAAACAAGGATATAATGCAGTTCATTATTCTGCTGCTTATGGTCACCGTTTATGTCTTGAACTGGTAAGAGTGCTGTTTTCATGTGGGGAATAATATGATTTCGTATTTGAATAAATAGAAAAACAAACTAATAATAGCAGTAATAATAACTAACATTTACACGGGCTTAGTATGTGCCAGGCATGTTGCTAAATGCTTTATACTTCTATCTTTTGATTCTCACAACCACCCTGGGAGGTAGGTGCTGTTCCATTTTACAGATGAGGAAGCTGAGGCAAAGAGATTTGAATGTCTTGCCCAGGGTAACACAGCTAATAAATGTCTGAGGCTGGATTACCAGATCTTCCTGGCTCCAGGCCCACGCTCAGTCTGCTGTGCCCTCTAACACACTGATTGTGTCTCAATAGAGAAGAAAAAATGACTGGTTTAAAAAATGATTCCAGTTTGTCGTGTAAAGAGTGCTGTCCTCTTCCCTGTCTCAGGGAACATTCTCCTGGACCTTGGTTTCTTCTGCCAGCTTCCATGATCTATGTCTCCTGTCCTTCAGTCATCAGTTTTTAAGAAAAGTTTATACTCAGAATCTTTACTTCTTGTCACCCATTGCCTCGCAGTCCAATTTTTGGCCTTTATGCTATCCCAAAACTGCTTAGTTTCAGGTCACCAGTGCTAAATTATGAGACCTCTGTTGCTGTTTCATCTTCCTGGTTCTTTCTATAGTATCTGACCCTGTTGATGACCTTTGTTCTTGATTCTCTTTTCCTGCAGCTTCAGTGACACTGCCTCTCCTCTGTGACTACTGTTCTTCTCCCTTCCTTTGCCCACCTCCGAAATGTAGACACCTTCCAAGACTCAGCCTTTTTTAAAAAAAAAATTATTTATTTTCAGTTTTCAGCATTCACTTACATAAGAGCTCGAGTTCCAAATTATCTCAAAGCCTCCCTTCCCCCCTACCCTAAGACTGCATGCAATCTGATATAGGCTTTACATACACATCCATATTGAACCTATTTTCACATTAGCCAAGACTCATCCTTTGGCCTTCTCTTTGCTCTTTCCTTGACAATCTTCTCCAGTTCCATGGCTTCAACATTTGGCAGAAGACAGCCAAATCTCTCCCAGTCCTGATCTCACGAGCTCTGGTACCATATTTTCACCTTAGTGGACAAACCCACCTGGATATTGCATTGTTGCACCTGGTTTTTTCAAACTGGATTAATCTCCCTGTTAAAACTTACTCCTCCCAACCTCCTTATCTCATTTGATATTACCAGTCTTCCAGTCACTGAGGTTCTTCCCTTTCTCTCACCCTTTCATATCCAATCATTAGTTCCATTCTATCAGTTTTCCCTTGACAAAATTAAGTCGTCCCCTCTACTCCTATAGCTACTGCTCTAGCTCATTCTCTGACTTCTCACCTTGATTGTTGTAATCGCCTCCTTACTGTTTGATATTATCTGCCTCTCCAGTCCATCCTTTCTATAGCTGTTAACATAATATTCCTAATGTGCCAGTCTGTTTACATCGCTTCTCTTCTCAAAAACCTTAGGGACTTATTATCACTGTGAGATAAAAAATAAAAATTCTGTTTCTCTTCATGTATGTATTCTACATCTTGCCCACACTCAATTGCTTGCTGACCTCTGATCTGGTATTGCCTTTACCAGCCTGTGGACATTTATTTGCACATGCTATCCCCCATGTCTGTAGCTCCTTTGTTGCTTCATCTAGCCTTTCACAGTTCATCTTAAGACCTCTCTGCACTTAGCCATTTAAAAATGGTTTCTCAACCTACCTCAGTTTGTCATTCCTTTATGTTGAATCTCTAAATTAAAATGCCACTTCCTGCAAAAAACCATTCCTGGTCTCCTTTATTGGTAGTGCTTTCCCCTCTGAAAGTTAGCTTCCATCTACTCTAGATTTATCACGTGTTCAGCTATTTGTGAATATGTTCCCTCCCCATTAGAATGTAAGCTGCGTGAGGGCAGGAATTATTTTTGTTTTTTTCTTCGTGTTCCCAGCACGTAGCACAATGCTTGGCACATAGTAAGCATGTTATGAATACTTGATTGATAGCACCTTCCAGTGGGTGTTCTTGACTTATCCTGCTACTCATCAAAGTCAGTCATCCCACAGTGTGGCTCTTATTGTGTTTAACGTTCTCCTTGTTCTGCTCATTTCACTCAACATCAGTCCATTCGGGTCTTTCCAGGTTTTTCTGAAAGCATCCTGCTTGTCATTTCTTATAGCACAATAGTATTCCATTCCATTCATATACCACAACTTGTTCAGTCATTCCCCAGTTGATGGGTATCCTCTCAATTCCAATTCTTTGCCACAATAAGAGCTGCTATAAATATTTTTGTACATGTGGGTCCTTTTCCCGTTTTTATGATCTCTTTGGGATACAGCCCTAGAAGTGCATTGCTGGGTCAAAGGGTAGGCACATTTTTATAACCTTTGGGCATAGTTCCAAATTGCTCTCCAGAATGATTGGATCAGTTCACAACTCCACCAGCAATGCATTAGTGTTTCAGTTTTTCCACGTCTTCTCCAACATTTTATCATTTTCCTGTTTTGTCATGTTAGCCAATCTGATAGGTGTGATATGGTACCTCAGAGTCATTTTGATTTGCATTTCTCTAATAGTGATTTAGAGCATTTTTTTCATATGACTACAGATAGCTTTAATTTCTTGCTCTGAAAACTGCCTGTTCATATCCTTTATAATTTATTTCTTAAATTTATAATTGACCTAATTAAATTTGGCTGTCTTATTTCATACCAACTTTCTAGAAGGAAGGAGAAATGAAGAAATGAGAACTCTGATTATATTCTTCCCTTATTCTTACTCTTTTATTCCATTCTCACTAAGTTCTCCTCCTTTAGCCAGTTGCCTGCCATGTCTTCCCAGGACTTCTGGGAATTTGTGAAGGCAACATCTTCTAATTGAGGGAAGTATTCAGCTAAGACTTTACCACTGCAAAAGAAACATTGATTTCATATATTTAGGTTTAAATTCCTACATACCATTCATCCTACTTGACTATAACCAAAGCAGGTTATGTGATATAGTTTATAGGGCACTGAACTTGGAGTCAGAAAGACCTGGGTTCAAATCCCACCTCAGACACTTACCAGTTGTGTGGCTGTAGAGAAGGCATCTGAAGACCTTACTGCCTCTGAATCTATTATCCTGTGAACCAGAAACAAAATTTAGAGGAAGCTAATGGTCAGTTGTACTAAAACAGACTCATATGGTCAAAGCTTACGGAAATTTTTTTTTTTTTGCTTTTTTGCTTTTTGGTAAGGCAATCAGGGTTAAGTGACTTGCCCAGGGTCACACAGCTAGTAAGTTTCAAGTGTCTCAGGTTGAATTTGAACTCGGGTCCTCCCGACTCCAGGGCCGGAGCACTGTCTCACCTAGCTGCCCCTTAAAAATGTATCAGAAACTTAAATGATTCCTATAAGAAAAAAAATGACAGGAAATAAAGAGTAGGGGGGAAAGATTGAGGTCCTGCTGTGAATTTTCTTGCATATGTTGAAGATTTACAGAAGTTTGAGATTTGGGTATGTTTTGATTAAATTCTTAGGTCCAAGCTATTTACTTATTGTTTTAAAAAACTCAAGAAATACAGATTTTAAATGTTTATCTCATAGTATATCAAATATAGTATATTACCTACCCTTCAAAGCTGCAAGGAGGAATATTTTGAAAACTTCACATCCGCTCTATAACTATGAAATTGCCCAGGATCATCTAGCCAATATGTATCAGAGATGGGAGAGACCAAAACCCAGGTCTCCTAAGTGGCAGAAGGGCCAAGCTGCAGTGGTATAGGAAAAATTCACCAAAAGCTCTTAACACCCATGAAATGACAAATCCCATCCAATCTTAAAAATAGCCTATGTAAACTGCTACTCCTCCTTTTGGAAAGCTTTTTATTTTCTTGGAAGGCAAGGACAGACAGTACAGTGTTTAGATTCGTGACCCCCCCCCCCCAAATATATAGATCCAAAACAAATAATAATAGTACTCTGTAAATATGAAATGTTTTTAATACTTGATACTGAATGTTAATTATTAGTGATACTGTATAAAATATATCCTTTCTTTTTGAAATTTATTTCAGATTGCCAGTGAAACTCCCTTAGATGTTGTAAGTATATACCTTTTTAAAATACTGTGTGAAATATTTTTTGGGACAGTTTAGATGTGGTTCTGCCTTAAGTACTGATGTAGACTAATAGCTCTCATATGCCTGTTGTTTTTTCCTTCTGATCTTCCATAAGATTATCCTGCTTCCATTGTCTTTCATAGTCATAATGGCTTTTGCTGGGCCCATACCTACTATGTTACATGTAGAAGAAATCGTCAGAGGGAACTGTGGTAACAGGAAAAATTGAAGTAGTGTTGACAGTTTGTTAGCTTCTGTCCAGCTCTTCTGTGGTATATCTTTAAATGTCACTCAGTGATATTTGAAAACTTTTTAGCTTGACTTTCATTTTTCAGAAACTTTTAATGGGGATAAAAAAAATCTCCAATTTAAAAATAAAAATTAGTCAGCTTTTTAAAAATTGAGCAGTTGCTACGTGTGTTTTTAAAGCAACATTTTTCACATTTAAATGTGACTTTTTTTTTCCTTAGCTAATGGAAACCTCGGGTACGGATATGTTAAATGATTCAGATAACAGAGCACCAATAAGCCCTTTGCACTTAGCTGTAAGTATTGTCTCCTTAAATTACTTAGTTCTTTATTTTTGAGGTGAGTTTTTCATGTATTCATAAAATATAGAAAATCATGTAAAATTATTTTGAGATCATTGCATGGAAATAAAATGAACAGATAGAAAGTATGTATTTGCACTCATACAAATACAAGTGCTCAGAGGTCCAAGCCAACCAGATCAGCATAGGACTCCTTCACTTAGTGGCTCCAACAGGACCCCACCCAGTTCCACCAGTGTCATCTCTTAACAGTAGTCATGGCCCTGTGATGATCAGGGAGCCATCAACTACAATCCTTGCAAGGATTTGTCTTACGTTACAAGACCTTTGGACCTTTTCTGTTCTGCTGCTGTGCCCTTGAGACTCCAGAGTATTGCCATCTACCTTTGGCCTGTACCATTTACCCATGTAGCTTACCCATGTAGCTGAAGTCTTCCCCAATTAGAACTTGAACTCTTAAAGTGCAGCTGTCTCATTTTTCTGTTGTATTCCCAACATTTAGCATAGTGCTTGGCACATAATCAGTGCTGTTTTGTTTCCATTTCGTAGTTAGATCTACCTGCTTCTGAGGATCTGTGATCTCATTGATGTCTTCCCCTACCTTTCATGTGGGTGCCAGTAGAGTTCACAAACTACCCATCTGTTTCCCCTCACTCTCATTATGTGCCCAGACCTTCTTTCTTCATTATATGTTTCTTGGATGATCTCTTTTATACTTCCTCTGGTACATAGTTCTTTAACTATGTGTATCAGTGTCTGTACCATGAATATAGTACATATGAACATGTATATGCAGTATATCTGCATGCCCATATCTACTGCCTACCATGCATATTCCCATTGCCCTTTAGGTGGTTATCCACAGTTTTGAATCTCTTAATGTAACATTTAGCTGGATCAAGTGGATTTGAGAGAGAGAGAGATGGAGAAAGAAAGAGAGTATGTGTGTTGGAGAGACACTAAGACACATTAATGTGAGAGACCATCTGATATAATGAATGACAGGCCAGTCTCAGAGTCAGGATACCCTGGGTTCCAGAGTCCCCCACCTCCCCACCCCTGACACATACAAGTGGTATATTCATGAACAATTCGCTTACGCACTCATTGACCTAAGCAATTTTCTGTGGGTTACAAAATAGTTACTAATCTGCATTGATAGTCTCCCCCTTATTTTACAAATCAGCAAATTGACTCCCAGAAAGAAAATTTTCCTTCTTGTACTGCCACCAAAATCTCTCCTTTCCTCCTCCACTGAGAATAAAAGGTAAACAAACCTCCTGTTACAAAGGGGTATAGTCAAAACAAATTTCTGCATTGGCCATGTCCAAAGCAATGTATCTCATTCTATATTTTGAGTCTTTCACCTCTCTATGAGGAAGTAGACAGCCATTTCATTGGCCTTTTAGATCATGGTTAGTCATTAATTACACTGATCTTAGTTACTAATTTATTCAGTCTTGTTTGGCTTTGCTTTTGTTACTGTCTAAATTGTTTTCCTGGTTTTACTCATTTCACTCTGCATCCATTTATATAAGTCTTCCCAGATTTCTCTGAAACCAGCCTTCTTAGTATTTCTTACAGTACAGTAGTACTCCATCACATTTACATACCGTAACTTGTTTATCCATTTCGCCTCTATGGGCATCTGTTCAGATTCACATTCCTTGCCACTTCAAAAAACTCTAAATATTTTTGTGCATCCTAATTTGAAGATTGTTTTTGTTAGGGCTGAACCCTTTCATAATATGCCCTTCCTCCAAATTCTCCTCCCTTCTCTCTTTACCGTATTTCCCTGTTTATTGAAATGTAGTTCTGTACCCGACCGTCTGTGCTTGTGCGTGTGTGTATGTATGCGTGTTTTTCCCTCCTTTGAATAGTTCATATGAGAGGGAGGTTGAAGTGTCAGCTGCTTCATATCCCTTCTCCCTGTATTTGTACACTTTTTCTTGCACAACCTGATTATGTGAGATAATTTTCCCTGGCCTTCCTTTACCTTTGCCCCCCTCCCAATATATTGTTCTTCTCATAAGCTCATCAAGATAGCAGTCTCTCCTGTATATATGACCCAGAACTGGGCAGTGGGCAACAGAACTGCCAGTTGGCCCCAGACCTCTTCACAGTGTCCTGTCATGAACCTGATCATGCCCTGGTCTCATTGTGTAGTCTCTCCTTGGCCACTGTCGTGTTCTGTGTCATGCTCCTGACCAGACTCCACCCCCCAGTATCCACATACTTCTCTGTCTCCCTCTGCTGACCTAGGCTGGACAAGCAACTCGCTGTGACATTTTCTGGGTTCCTCTATCAGGATTTGGTCTGTTGTATTTTCTATAGATCTCTTTGGAGGAGGCTTGTTTCTTGCAGTCGTAGTTGTTGTTTGTTTGTTGGTGTAGGGGGATGGGATGGGAGGGAATGAGCTCACTCTGTGGCTTCCTGCTACTCTGTCATCTTGGCTCCAGCTGGAGTCTGGTTCTACAGTTTTCAGGGCATCTGTAACTGTCTGTGTGACCTTGAGCGTCTCTCTTCACAAACCTAGTCCTCAATTCATCTATAAAATGGAAGGTTCAACTAAATGTTCTTAAGGTATTTTATGACTTTGTTTATGTCTCCTTACTCATAATGTAAGTAACTGTGTAGGGGAAAGGGGAATGAAAATAGACTGTTGATTTTTAAAAAGAAAACAAACCTTAAAACAACCTTACTTATTTCCTCTTCCATTCAGATTTTATTTCTTTCTGCAAGTATTCTTTCTCCTTTCAGTCATCCAGTGAACATTTAGTAAATGCCTGCTATGTGCTAGTTACTGGGATACAAGTATAAAGAATGAAATAATTCCTTCTTGCAAATGAGATTACATTCTGATTAGGGAGATAACAGGTACGCATAACTATGTAGTGTAAATATAAGTTGAATAAATACAAATGTATAAATTAGTTAAGTACAAGGTAGCTCAGGAGGAGCTAACAGTTGGTGATTTCAGAAGGACTTCCTGAAAATGATGCTTTCTAGTGGTATTTTTTGAAGAGAGCAGTTTGATTTGAGTGAAGAGGTCAGATGCCAGAGGGCAAAGGGTTGGAGACTAAGAGAGCGAAGAAAAAGTGAAAGCAGCAAATAGCAACCATGTTTCCAAGGAGCTTAGCTGAGAAGGCAGGAAAGATAGAAAATGGTAGTTTCTGAAGGTCTTCTGGTTTTGTTTTGTTTTTTTAAAGATGGATAAGGATTTGAGAGAGAGGAAAAGAAATGGTTTGGGATGCAGTCTGCTGGAAAAAATGGGAGAGGGTGGGATCAAGAGGAGATGGAGAATAGTTGGCCTTGGCAAGAAGAAGAGCACTTTAGTGTCTGAGACTGGAGTTTGATTTCAAGAGATTTTGAGATCAAGAGAGGAAGGGTAAAGACAGCTCATACAATAGCTTCGGTTTCTTCAGTACAGTGAGAGGCAAAAAGTCCCCAACTGAATGTGAAAGGAAGTGGGAGTTGGGGAGGTGGTTTATCAGTGGTTTGATTAGGAAAAAGAAAGTTTAGAATAACTTCTGTGGAAAGTAAGAGGGAATTAATTAGGGAACAAAAATCAATTATTATACATTTATTGTGTGCCTGCTATGTGCCTAATAGAGAGATAGCTATGTGACTCATTAGATAAAGTGTTGGGCCTGGAGTCAGGAAGACCTGAATTCAAATCTAGCTTCAGATACATATTAGCTGTGTGACATTGGGCAAGTCACTTAACCTTGATTTGCCTTACTCCGCTGAAGAAGGAAATGGCAAACTGCTCCAATATCTTTGCCAAGAAAACCCTGTGGACAGTATTGTCCATGGGGTCACGAAGAGTTGGATGCTACTAAACAAGAAAATATGCCAGATACAGTACTAAGCTCGGGGGCTACAGAGAGAGGCAAAAGACAGTCCTTGCCCTCAAGGAGCTCACAATCTAGTGAGAGAAACAATAATAAACAAATATGTATAAACAAGCCATATACAGGATAAATAGGAAACAGTTAATGGAGGGAGTAGTTGGGAAAAACTTTCTATACATTATGAAATTTTAGTTGGGACTTAAATGGAGCGAGTAAAACTAGGAGGCAGAAATAAGGAGGGAGTACATTCCAGGCATGGGAGATGGCCAGAGAAAATGCCTTGGAGCTGAGCAATGGAAAGTCTTGTTTGTGGAGAAGCCAGGAGGCCAGGGTCACCAAATTGAAGATCCAGTACATGGTAGGGAAGACTGGAAAGGACTAGCTTGCTGTAATAAGGGCCCAGGTGAGGTTGGATAAAATGAATTTGTAATATACCTCTCAGCATGGGTATGAGTTTTCCTCCAGCTACACTCAGCAGCAGAGGAGGCAGGTGGTGGCAGTAATCCAGCGCTAACGTTGGCAAGAGCTGAATGGGGATAGGACAAGGGCACAAGAGATATGAAAGTTGAGGACACTATAGAGGTGAAACAGGTAACTCTGGGTTTGAAATTAAAAGAGGGAGGAAAGTGAAGTCAGAGTGCAGGAGTAATGGCCTGAGGATTTTGGGGGGAGGGGGAGAACGGTAGGTACTTATTGCTTGTTTACATATTAATAAGCCCCAAGCTCTGAAAAGAGTGGTTTTTAAGTTGGCCATTCCTAGTTGGGAATGGAAACAAGTGTCTCTTCATTAGATTCTCCCAAAGAATTATGGTGCTGTTATCATGTTTACATTTTTGTGCTTCCTAATCATTTAATAGTAGTTTTTATTTTAAAAAGCTGATTTACAGGTTCTTTCTAAAACTGCAATTGAGAGCCACTGAAGTATATATCGAGTGCTCTTTGTCCAGCTGTCTTGGCAGTGGTTTGCACATTAATTGGAAAGCTTTATGCAGCTTGTGATAGCATGCTCAAAGAGGCCTCCCTCTTGACCACAGCTTCTGCTGTACAGCCAGCCACTGCTGTATTCCCATGTGAAGGAAGGACATGAGGCAAAAGCAGAGCAGTTGACAAATGTTTGTGTTTCCTTATACTTTTATCTTATTCTTCTTGAGATTTAGCTTCAGATGGGACCCATCTATAGGGCATTGCTCCTTTTTCGTAGTTCAATATTATTACAATAGTACCAGTACTTAGAAACCCTTTTGGCTCATATGTAACTCTTTTGGGTGGTTATTTTCCCCTGCTTCCTTGTGGCATTCCTTGGCCACAAGTTTTTTTTTTCCTCGACTGTTATCAAATTAGTTTTCTACACCACTCTTCAGAGAAATTATTCCACACTTTCCTCAAACTTTTCTCTAGACCACCAGTATATACTTACTATATATTGATAAGCTGTGTGATATTCTGTTTGTTATTTTAAGCCATTTGCAATCTAGGTTAAGCCTATCATTCTAGTGTGATTACACATTACAGTGGAGCGTGTATATAAGCTTTTCAGCCCATGACCTTAACTTCAGTGAAAAAACTGAGGCCATTTGTTATCACCTCCCCCATCTCTGCAATTTTACATTTCAGTTCGCCCTGGCATCTCTCCTCAGCCTGTCCTTCTATGCCCCCTGTCTTGGAGCATTGTGAAATAATAGAGAGCCATTGGAGTTAATTGAATGGGGAGGTAGGGTAATATGGTTTGACCTGAGTTTTAGGAAGATCAGTTTGACAGCTGAGTGGAGGCTGGATTGGAGTAGGGAAGAGGCTTCTGGCAGGCAGACCAACTATCAGGCCTTTGCAGTACTCCAAGTATGAGCATTTCTGCTCCTGGGAGGTGGTAGCATTGGAAGACCAAAAGGGGTAGAAATGACAAGACTTGACAAGTGTTTGGGTATGGGTGAGATAAGAGCGTGGAGGGGGTCAGAGTCAAAGATAACCCCTAGCTTGTGAGCCTGAGTGGCTGGGAAGACAGTCGTGCTCTTTACAGAAATAGGGAAATCAGGAAGAGGAGAGGGTTTGGGGGAAATGTTCTGAGTTCAGTTTTGAAGATGTTGGATTTAAGATGTCTGCAGGACTTCCAGTTTGAGCCATCCAAAAATCAGTTGAAGATACAAGTAGAGATGTAAAGAGAGAGGTTTGGGCTGGACAGATAACTTCTGTTCATCAACACAGACATGATAAATAAGTCCATGGGACCTGTGAGATCATCAGGTGATATAGAAAAAAGGGACCAGGACAGAGTTTTAGGGGACCATTCATGGCTAGCAAGCAAGAGCCTTGAATGGAGACTAAGAAGGAGTGGTTCAGCTGCCAGGAGGAAAACCAGAAGAGGAGAGAGTTTTGAGACATCAGGTTTTCCAAATAAAAAAGTAAAAAATCCCCAAGAATGGACCCCCATTGATCAGGTTTATATTCCCCCATTCTTGGATGAGAACATCTGGACTCTCTCATCTCTTCCCTTCTAATACATACAGCTTATATGGTTCTGCTTTACTACACTGGTGCTATACAGAAGTTGAATTTCTTCCATAGGATTTCAGGAAATGCCTTCTCCTTTATAGCATGAGAAAAACATAAAGCCAACTTTGAAAACAGTCTTATTGTTGCTCTATGGAGAGGGTTCTGTATACCAATGTAAATAACTCATAAGTTTTTTATCAAGGAAAACCTTCTTGTTAATTTTCCAAAATCTCTTTTCCAGTAAGTATTTAATCTACTCTATGGATCAAGCATCTACCTTATGGTGGGGATAAAGGGGGTGAGGCATAGGCCCAGGGATGGTTTATTTTGAAAGGGAAACTGGGTTCATTCTGGTAGTTTAGAGAGCCAGAGACAACTTGAGATTTACATTTTTAGCACTAATTATTTTAACAAGCTGTCCAGTGTTTCATTGTTTTTCAGAACATCTCTTGATTTTTCCTATTCCCCATCAAACTTTTAAAAATACTTGTCATTGCTTGGACTTTTGAAATTTTCTGTTTACCTGATTAAGATTAGAGTATATTTTGTATAATGTCTCTATGTGTTGACTCTGGTATTTGGGCTATCTCTCAGGTTAAGGATATGTTAGAATATAGAGATTTTGTTCCCAAAAGTAAATAGTTAAGAGATCGAGCAACCAATACAGCAGCTTACTGAAGTTTTTAATCAGTGCATCCAACACAGCCATTTTCCTTGTTGAGACAGTTTTCATTATAGGAAAAGTGCTATTTGTTTTACATTCATTAAGGTCCTACTATGTTCCAGGCACTGTGTTAAGTGCATAGTGTCTTTGTATACCCAGCACAAGATGTATAATAAATGTTTGATAATTTGAATTGAACTAGGTGGTGCTGGGCCTAAAGTCAGGAAGACCTGAGTTCAGATCCATCCTCACTCAGATGCTTAGTGGCTGTTGGAGCCTGGAGAAGGAAATGGCAAACCACTCCAGTATCTTTGCCAAGAAAAGCCCAAATAGGGTCACAACTGAAATGACCAAACAACTATTTAACTTGAATTGAAATGCCATAAACCCTCTGTTAACCAAGTTAACCTGAATGCTGCATTCCCCATCTATAAACAACAACTGGGGCATTAGTTTTATATGGTGTATTAACAAATTTCAAATATAATGGTTCAGTTAGAAGAATTTTTAATATGAAATGTTAGGATTCATCTAAAACATAGTAATATAAAGAATGTATTTCCTTTGTGCTTTCAAATAATGTGAAGTCAGTCTTATTTGATGTGGATTTTTAACAATTTTTCTTTCAGGCCTATCATGGTCACCATCAAGCATTAGAAGTGTTGGTACAATCTTTGTTAGATCTTGATGTGCGGAATAACAATGGAAGAACACCCTTAGACCTTGCAGCCTTTAAAGGCCACGTGGAATGTGTGGACGTGCTCATTAATCAGGGAGCTTCAATCTTAGTCAAGGATTATGTGGTAAAGAGGACACCTATCCATGCTGCAGGTACAACACCCGCACCGCTTCCCTAAGTAGCTCTCAGCATCATCTTTATCTTAAGAGTTCTTGCATTACTGTGCTTTAATATCTTACCCGAGGATAGTTCTTATCTTTGTTCAGAATCAGAGAATCTGGATTCAATACCAGAGCTAATGCTTACCTAACTGTGAGGTGCTGAACACATCACTTACCTTGCTGGTCTTCGGTATCTTCATCCGCAGAATCAGAGGTCGCATTATATAGCCTCTCAGTTCCCTTCTAGCTCCAGAGCTATGATCCTGTGATAAGTTATAAAGCCATGCAGTGCATTTATGACATTGATTTATCTGATGTAAATGTTGCTTCAAGAGTTTTAGTCTTTCAGATCTTTTAGCAGCATCAAGATAGCAGTTGTTTTTAACAGATTTGCTAAGTCAGTCTTGATTTCAAGAAAATACATTAAGCTTTTAATGAAATTTTGTAAATTTCTTTGTCAGTCTGCCTGCTCTGATTTCAGGTTTGAAAATTGTGGTCACCATAAGTCTATGATCAACATGTTATATTTATTGCTCACCTAAACATTTAAATATAAGTAGTAGTATCTGGTCTATCCTTCAGTGCAAGGGTTGGCTCTTTCACTGATGATACATCTGAAAAACTGAAGGATTTCATCAGCAACACTTGCACTGTTATATCAGTTGGCTAGACAGACACTTGACTGTGAGATCTTAGATTTCAGCCATTGTGAAGCTGTTCCTCCCAGCGTAGCCACACTCTCTTGGATATGTGGTGAAGATAGAATGAGCCATATCAATATTTGTGTGCATGTCTCATTTTCTCTATTAGATAGCAGGCCCTTCAAAAACATATGTTTTGTATAAGTTGAAGTTGAACAATTTGAAGATAAGGGCTACAAAAATAATATGAAAACATCCTTAAACCCAGCAGTGTGAAATACTCCTCACTGATTTCTAGGGAGTGAGAGCAGCTGACAGACTCTGGATCCTGAGCAAAAGTTTGGGGCAAAGTAAAGCAGCAGCAAAGAGGTCTTAGCTGATAGTTAGTGGAGGAATGATTCCATTGGACATACTGCAGAGTCCTTTGGAGCATCCACCTTACTAACAGCCACACAGCTAATGTCATCACCTTTAAGACAATGGAGGGTAATTCATATATATGTACACACACACATACCACAATGGTACCTAGACAGTAAAAGAGAAAACACATTGACCTGGGATACCTTTCCAGGCCACACTTAACTCTGTAAAGTAAGGGAGTGACATCCCAAGTACCTTCCAGTTCTGGGAAGGTAAGCAGCTAAATGGCACAGTGGACAGAGCATTGGGCCTGGAGTCAGGAATACCTGAGTTCAGATCCAGACTCAGATGCTTGCTATCTGTGTGACCTTGGGCAAGTCATTTAATCTGTGCCTGCCTCACTCAGTTTGCTTACCTGTAAAATGGGGATAATAATAGCACCTACCTCCTGGGATTACTGTGAGTAGCAAATGGAATATTTGTACAGTACTTTGCAAACCTTAAAGTGGGCTATTATTTGTATTTCTGTGTTTTGTATTCTGTATTTGTATACATGGGGGTTAAGACCTAAAGTTGGTAGATGATTGGCCTTCCCTTTATTTATTTATTTATTTGTTTTTGCTCTGGGTGTTGTTTAGTTGTTCTATAAAGATAGATCCATAGAATCATAGAATTCTAGATCTAGAAGTAGAAATGGGTAACTATTATTATCATTATCATTACTTTAAAAGGACCTCCCTAAATAATTAATAAAGCTTTTTGTTAAGTACCTGCAAATAGCTTATTTCTTCAGTTATTCAAGGAATGATGTGATTTGTGTCTTATTAAATTCCAGATAACTTGCTGTAAGATTAAAATTTTAACCCTATCATTATTATTTATGATTATTTCCACTATTAACCTTATATTTTACTTTGCAGCAACAAATGGTCATTCAGAGTGTTTACGGTTATTGATAGGGAATGCAGAGCCACAAAATGCAGTGGACATTCAAGATGGAAATGGACAGTAAGTTTTAACAAGTATTGTTTCATTTTTTTCTTTCTTGAGTATGAATTCCCATGTATTTTATGTTTTTGGACATATATACTTCAAACTGCATAAGTGAATATGTTGAAATTGTAGTGCTCTTAAGATGCAGATATATAAAATAGTCTCTAATATCTACATTTAGAAAAATTAAAAGGTACTATTATGATTCATTATTATTCATGCAGTAGAAGATGGGATGCTAAGTAGTATCATTAAATCTTTTGTGCATCGTACTGTCTTTCTCATGTTACTCAGGACTCCCCTGATGCTGTCTGTTCTGAATGGACACACAGACTGTGTTTATTCACTACTGAATAAAGGAGCAAATGTAGATGCCAAAGATAAGTGGGGAAGAACAGCATTACATAGAGGGGTAAGAAAAAATGTTTTTCTTTGTAACATAGAAGTAGATTGAATTTTGTTGCCTTTCATTTTCTTCATTAAATTTTACCATCAAGTAACCCTGAATAATTCACCCGTGTATTGGAAAGAGTTATCAGGTCATGGTGTACAGTTTTATCAAGCTGCATTAATTAATTTTTGATAGAAAATGCCCAGTAACTGAACACATAGAGCTTAAAGTCATCTGGCCCAGTGCCTTTATTTTATAGATGAAGAAACTAAGGTCCACAGGGATGATTTATGATGATGCCACAGTGATAATTAGTCCATTTTTCTCCCACCATCTCATTCCTTTACCTGTATCTTTCTTTTTCCCTTCTGAATTCTTTCACTTTTTGAAATTTCATTGATTTCACACATTGGTTTCCCATTTTTTAATAATATGCCAGATTAATTAGGTGCATATCTTAATAAAAATATCTGAATTAAAGATGAGATTTAATCTAATTCTGATTTTATAACAAACATTTGGAACAATAGTGATAATACTTAGAAAATGTTTCATCGTAGGATGGCTTAGGGATGATAATGTGGCTCTTTGTGATTTGGGGCCATTTATATTCTAACTCTTGTATAGTTATGCCAATATGCAAATTACTTCTCTTCTAGGCAGTTACAGGCCATGAGGAATGTGTAGATGCATTGCTTCAACATGGTGCCAAGTGTTTACTGCGGGACAGTAGGGGTCGGACACCCATACACTTGTCAGCAGCCTGTGGTCACATTGGTGTTCTTGGAGCACTGTTACAGGCAGCAGCATCTGCAGATGCCATTCCTGCCATAGCAGACAATCATGGCTATACATCGCTTCATTGGGCCTGCTACAATGGTAAAGTATTCTTTTATAATGTGAGAACAGGTTTCATTCAATCTTCATATGACTGGGCAGCCCACAGACATTTATTACACAGAGCCAACAAATTCAGTTTGACGTTGTTGCTCCTATAGTGTCTCTGCCTTTGTGCTGGCCCATGTCCCATGCCTGAAAGGCTCTCCCTCCTCACTTCAGTCTCTCAGAATCCCTGGTTTCATTCATTGCTCAGAAGTGTCACCTCTTGTGGAAGCCCTTTCCTGGTCTCCTCAACTGCTGCCATCTTCTCTTCCAGCGTTACAGTGGCTGATTTATGTGTGTCTCTGATAAACTACTTGCATACGTGCCATGTCTCTCCTAGAATATAAACTCCTCAAGGACAGGGACTATTTTGGTTGAGCACCATGTCTGGCATCTAGCAGATACTTCATGCTTTTGATAAGTTAAGCACCTACCTCTGTTGCTGTGTTGATTACTAGAGTTTAAAAGAAGAGACAAAACAGTCTGCCCTCAAGAAACTTACATTCTACCAGGGTGATCTGGCCTACATAGAGATAAATAATTTATTGTGTGAAAAATGCTGTGGAAAAAAGCCATTTTAAGAACATAATGTTGAGTATAATAGATTAGTCACTTTTATAGGGTATTGCAAAATTATTTTTTTTTCAGTGTATCTTATATAGTACATTTGAATATTTTGGGTGTGTTCTTATCCTACTACAAATAGACTTCTATCAAAGAACAAAAACTGTAAAGCAAGAAAAACTTTAAAGAAAGGTTCTCACAATAAGCACATTTTACATTAACTCTGCGATATTGTTAAAAGATTATTTTTAGCTATTAAGGGAACTTCACATAGTTATTCTTTTACATTATACTCACATTAGCTCATTCTGAAAAAATAATGCTTTTTTTTAAGAAAAGAGGGTTTTAACAAAAGGTAGTTTTTGAAATGAGTGTTAATAAAATTAAGTTAAAAAGAATGAAAAATGTCCAGATTTGTTTTATAAAAGATTGTCAGAAGATTTGTAAAGGCTTGAATTGGTCTATGGCTTTGATCATCCTTTTTGGAAAATACTGTAATATATCATGCATAGTGTATGTATTACTGTGTTGAGATTTATCTTCATGACTTAAAGCAGGAAAACAAGATTTTTGTTTTGTGTTACTATATACTTATTGACATTGGTGTCAGGCAGCTGTGAGATGATGGAATTTATACCAAGTTGCATTATTTCACATTATTCCTTTGTTTTTATTGATAGTCATTAAATTTGTAATACTTATTTTAGAAAAGAATCTTCTTGAAATTTGGAAATTTTTCTCACATTCATTCAACTAAAGATTTCTAGAAAATTTACAGCTTAGCTTTGCTGTTCTTAAACTCTTTTCCTACCTACCCCATCTCTCTATATTCAAAACTTATTACCCAAAAAAATCTCTTTGAAAGCTTTTTAACTACTTTGAAAATTCTTGAGATTTTCTGTTTCTGTGGCCCAGATTACAATCCCATGTTCCTTGGCCTTATCTCTTTGTTTCAGCTTCCTAAACTATACAAGCAAGAATGATAAAATTTCTTCTTCTGTCTTAATGCAGATATTTGTGGAGTATTTATAGACTTTTTAGTTTTGTGTAATCGCAAAAAAAGAAGAAAATGTATTAGCCAATCTATAAGTGCTTTGAATTCCTCAGGATCACTACATAAATCCAATTTATTACTATTCCTTTCAGTCTCTTCACTTCCTAACTTCAGAGTTCAAGACCATAGCCATACTTAACAGCTTTGGCAGCTGACCCAAGTCATTGCCTAGCTAAGGCGAGCAGCATAGCATGTGCTCAAATCAGCTTTGTAATTATGAAAAATGAAATATGGAAATCATACAAGGAAATAAGATATTCAGTTGTTGGATCAACAAATTACTATAGTGCCTTAGGATTAGAATCTTAGGCTTATGAAGAACCTTTGTACTGCACCTTGTGATTTCATCAAGCCCCAGAATGCTGTGGAACCTCCTAAATGAACTCCATCATCCTTAAGGGTTGGGCTAACTATCCGGAGAAGAACCAAGGGGTCATCTGGCTCTATCCATGAGATTTGGAGTTGTGTGTTCTTTCTACCCCACCAGAGAATCTTCAGCAGAGTTCCTCCACATATAGCATAGGAGGGATGTTGGTATGGGGATTAAAGGATTGCAGCCCTTCAGTGAAGGGAAAGTGTGTGTCTTCTTGTATCTTCCAAACTCCCCATTTTGGGTCAAAGCTCTGGTCACCCCAGTTCTGGCTCTGTATGCTACTTATCAGGTTTTTTCATTGTTAAAATTTGACTATCAAATTAATTTTGATTTCTAGGAACTGTTTAGCCTATAAATAAAATTTAATGAAAAGAGATGATGTGTTCACTCATCATCTGTAGAGAGTTCATCCTCTTTTTGGACTCAGTGCTGAGCATCCTCCACAATTGGTGACAACCACTTTCTGAAAGCCTATATATCTTCCTGTTTTATGCCTTCCTTGAGGTCACCAGTCGGTTATAGAAAAAGTTTTCTGTTTATTACATCTTTCAAAGATATCTTCTATGACTCTGGCATATGCATGGAAGGTAACTTTGTTGGCTTTCAAGCTATGTTTTGCCCTACCAAATGAAATATTATTTATAGTCAACAAGCAGTAAGCACAGTAGGATCTTATAGTCTCTACATCTTTCAATCAGCTGTGTGGCTATAAAGATGTGGTCTATTAAATTTCATTTGTTAATAAAAGCTTGTCTATTTCTTCCTTCACCCAACTTTGTTTTGTTTTGTTAATTGAAGTCCCAGTTCAGTGATCTGTTCTTTTTTTCTCTTTTGATAAAAATGTTTAGAAATGTAAATAATTTTCCTAAGCACTACTTTGGCTGATCACAAATATTTTGGAATATTGTCTTATCATTGTTATTGTCTTTTGAGATTACCTGATTCAGTTGGTTAATGACCAATTAATTTTTAATCCTGTATTTACTGGGTTTTTATTGAGTAAAATTTTATTGCTCTGTGGTCACTTTTTTCTCCATTTATGTGGTTCCTGTGCCCCAATATATGACCAGTTTTTATAAAGCTGCCATGTACAGCTGAGAAATATGTATACTCTTCTGTTTCCATTCAGTAATTGCCAGAGATCTATCATATTAACCTATTCTAAAATTTTATTCAAGTCCCTAACTCCTTCCTTGTTTGGATGGGTTTTTTTTTTTTGAGAGTAAGAGAAACATGTGAATTACTAGATTTTCTAGGTGTGAAAGGGATACGTTGAGGTCTACAACTATTATGGTTTTACTGTCTTATTTCTCTCTAAAACTCTTAGCTTTTGCAGAGAAGAGGGTAGTGAGAGAGAAGGGTGCTGAGAACCAGTGCTTAATCATTCTGTTGCCACTCCCATCTGTCTACTCTTCCCCTCATCCAGATTCCAATCATAGTTTATTATCCTTTCTTTTCCTTTACTAGTAACTTGCTTTTCTTCTCTTTAAAAAAAATCAAATTAGTGAGTATTTTACCAATTTATTAATTCAGTGGATGTTTTATTTCAGTTTTGTTCATCTTTACTTTGATTTTCATAATTTCTATTTTGATATTTAAGGGAAAAAAACAACATTGGTTTTCTAGGGGTTTGGTTTTTTTAGGTGTATGTCCAATTCTTTATCTGTTCATTCTTTCTTTTGGTAATGAAGGCAATTGATTTACATCAGTTAAATTTTCTTAGGAAATGATGATAGTTTTTGTCAACCTCTATTCTCTTGTCTTTTTCCTTTTTTAGTGTCAACAACTTGTTTAAATAAAAATCAGATTGAGGTTGCTTCAGTAGCTTGCATATCACTTGCCTCATTTCTTTCCTTCTAGTTGGGTATTGATTTTGTTCTTTGCTCTATTAAGTCAATAATCTGACTCTCCACAAACAGTTAATTTGCAAATAATTTGTAAACCAGTAACCAGTAATTTTTTCTCTATTAAAATGTATCCAGTACCATTTTTTTCATTAGATTATTTGGTGTACTCTATTTCCACTACTTCTTGATTCTTTTTTCAATGAAAGTATTCATCATATATAAGCATGCTGCTTATGTGTAGTCTACAAGCCTTTTGGACCCTCTTGTTCCTAATTTATGAATATCTTTGGCTGTTCTCCCTTTTGTCCACCTTTTCACTGAATTCATCAAATATTAAAGCATATTTTGATTGATGATTTTATGAGTTCTTTGAAGTTCTTTACCTCTTTATCTTTATGAAATTGATTTTGGTATGTCAGCAAATATTTTCTAATTGGTCTTTTTATGTTTGTGAGCATATGAGATAACCCATCAACCCATGAAATATTTTTGGTTGCCTTTTGACCTAATAAAACCAACTCTGTCTAGTTCTTTATTTGCCCTTCCCACAGAACTTATCAGCTATCCTTCTATTTAGTTGCAGTTTTCTTCTGTTTTCTTGTTTCATAATAGCAAGAATTTTACAGTTACCATGATTCAGATCTTCCAATGGTATGTCCACTCATTGGTCACTGGACAGGACTCTCATATTAAGAGTACCAAAAGTTAAAGATAATGTTAATAAACATCTAAAAATAACATGATTAGTACCCATGCCCCATTTGAACTATTCTTCTTTAATGGTGCTGAAGTAGGATGGGGTTTTCACAAAACTAAAGGCCATTTTGTATTTTTCTTTGTTTCATAGATGCCTATGGCCAGAGAATTCAGCTCCAAGTGGTCAGTTTCCTAGGAATGGGCCTCTCCAAATTTAGGTAGTCTGGTTCTCAGAAAGCAGACATAATCTTTTTCCAGTACCATATTTTCCAGCATGGTAGAACTTAGCAGTTTGCCTTCTCTTACCTGCAAAAATGCATGGTTGTCTCCAGGCCACAGTGAGGCATGAAAGAAGGACTCTGTGGCATATAAATGTAATAACCATTGAACAGCTATACCAAAAAGTAAAATAACATATAACTGTTAGCTCTATAAACTATAGTTTACTAAAAGGAAACTATAT